TGGCTTCATGCCCAGATGTGTACCATGTTCACTGTGCAATGATCCCAGCAGTGTGTGGCTTCATGCACCAGCGTGTGCCGTGTTCACTGTGCACTGATCCCAGCCATGCCTGGCTTCAGGCCCAGATGTGTACCATGTTCACTCTGTGTACTGATCCCAGCAGTGCGTGGCTTCATGTGCCGGCGTGTGGCCATGTGCTGTGACTCAGGGTCATTTTCTCACCGACCTTCCCCTTTTTACTTCCTGTCCCTTCCTGCAGGCAACCATTGGTGCTTCTGGTGTAAGAACCCTTGAGTTCTTCTGACCAAGTATCTTCCTTCCCTTGGTCCGTGTGTTCGGCAGGACAGCAGGAAGCTCCTGCTTGGGCTCACAGCCTCAGTCACTGGCAGATGCACGTAGCCCCGCCTCTGCCCCTGTGAGAGGCCCTGAGCCCCTCCTCCTCGCCTCAAACCCGGCTCTAGTTCCCAGCATCCTCCGTGCTGCTGACAGCTCTGAGTATGCACACCACCCCGAAGCCCCACTCCAGTCACCCTGAGACCCCACTCCACTGTGAGACCCCCACTAGTCACCTTGAGGCCACACACAAGTCACCCCATGTTCCACTTGAGCCATCCAAGGCCCCAGTTGAGTCACCGCAAGACCCCACTTCCCAGCGGTCTTGCCTGCGTGACCCTTTGGGGACTGTCAGGATGGCTTTGTCGTCCTTTTATGTCGTCGTTGGATGATGTCGCCTTGGTGCGACACCCTCTTTTGGCTCTTAGTACAATCACGTCAGCAGGAGAAGGATGGGCACTCTCCTCCCGTGCAATGAACTGCCTCTGAAAACCTAGCGGAGCTCAGCTCTGGCTCAGTTCCGACGCGATGGTTCTGACTTGACGGTTCCCGACAACAAGCTCGGCTTAGAGACACTTGGCTGTTTTGCAGGTCTGACTCCTGAGACACTCGTGGTGCTAGAAGAAGTGATGAAGAAATCCACGTTTATTTTACAAACCATGATGCCTTACTGGGAGGCTGTCGTGGTCAAGTTCAGGTCCCGCAGGTAGGCAGCACAGTGCCCTTGTTGCCAACTTGAGGCCTTTCCTCAGAGCCCTGAGTCCCCGGCTCCTCTGCTGCCCGGCGTGCTGCCCGGCATGCTGCCCTGCGTGCTGCCCTGTGTCCACTGAGAGCTCTGGGGCTGTGGTCTGCAGGGATTACTGCTGCCAGCACAAGGGCACACCCCCCTGCAGGTTTGAATCCACAATAGCTCTGACTAAGAAAGGCAGCCTCCTATGTGATTTCCAGCCTCAGAAAGCCCACCGGAAGTTCAGTTGTGTGTTGGTCTGACTGAAAAGCAGTGAGGGAGGGAGTGATTGATACATGCACGTGTACATATGTATGTATACGTGTGTATTTAATGTATTTATTAATTTTGCTTTCTTACCATGGAGGGTGGAGGGACGGCGCAGAAGGGGAAGGCCCCCTATGAGGTGGATCGATTCAGTGACTGGGGTAATCGGGATGGGTGTGTCAGAGGCAATGAGATTGGCACAGGATAAAGCACGGTTTAGGGCTGTTGTACATAGGGTCGCTATGAGTCACAAGCGACTCGACGGCACATAACAACAACCACAACCATGAATGACTGGATTTGGCACATTAACCTGCAGTGAAGTGATAAAGTGGGCCGAGGTCAGAATCTGCTGCCTTCTCACCACTCTTCTTGTTGTTGTGTGCTGTTGAGTTGCCTGCAACTCATAGTGACCCTATGTACAACAAACAGCCCTAAACGCTGCTCTATGCTGTGCCGATCTTACTGTCTCTGACACACCCATCCCGATTACCCCAGTCAGTGAATCAAGCCACCTCATCAAGGGTCTTCCTCTCCTGAGCTGTTTGTTTGCTTGGCTCCACAATCAACACTCTTGGTACCAGCAGCCAGGAAATCAAGAGGTGAATTGCATTGGGAAAGTCAGCTGTCAGGGATCTCTCTAGAGTACTGAAGAGCAATGACATCAGTCTGTAGACTAAGGGGCACTTGATCAAGGCCATAGTCTTTATATTTGCTTGCTATGCATTAGAGAGCTGGACAATTACTGGGAATGATAGATACAGAATTGATGTCTTTGAGTTGTGGTGCTTGAGAAGAGTGTTGAATATTCCATGGACGGCCAGGACAATGAACCAGTTTGCCCTTGAGAGGGTGAAGCCAGCCTGCTCCTTGTGGGCGAGAATTCTGAGGTTTCATCTGACGTACTTTGGGCATGTTGCATGGAGAGACCAGTCCTTGGAGAGGGACGTCATGGTTGGCAGAGTGAAGGGACGGAGAAAGAGAGGGAGGCCATCAATGAAAGGGATTGATACAGTGACTGGGGTAGTGCGTGTAGGTATGTCAGAGACAGTCAGGTTGGCACAGGGTAGAGCAGGTTCCAGCACCATTGTACATAGGGTCACTATGAGTCACAGGTGACTCCATGGCACAACAATCACTACCACCACCACCATGAATGAGGTGAACCGACGTTGAGTCCTGTGTGAGGGCATTAAAGACACTACTGCTTTGTCTTTATGCAGTTCTGTTCCCTCAGGATCAGACCACACACTTCGTAGAGACATCAGTAAGACTAATGCGCTGACTTTTCATTCTGTTGAGGCTTCATTTTCTGGGCACATTTGTTTTAAATAGTTGAAAACCACTGCTCTGACAAGTTCTGGTTCTCATATTAGCAGGAACTAAAGCATTTCCCAATGTCAGGGCCAGTGGTGACTCCAGTCCGGAATCCTCCCCTCCCCTGGGGAGACTCTTAAGTCGGTTCCTGCTTGGTGCCCTTCACACGTGACCACTGCCCACCGTGGATGGAGTCCTGCCTGTGGCTGTGGTGCTGAGGGATTTCAGTAGAGCTTGCAGACCAAGACTTGGACAAAAGGCCTAGTGATCTAAAAACCCTCCACCTCAAGTCTGTGTGTCGGAGTGCTTGGGTCCCGTGTCCCACGTGGGGCGGCTCTGAGCTTGGAATCTTCCTCGCCAGCACCCCATCCAGTGCTGGTCTGCAGTGGTTCTGCTGTCCTGATGTCAGCCTTGCCTTCTGAGTGGGGGACTCATACTTCTTCTTTTTCCTCCAATTTCTAGGTTTGCTGACTGCGTGGTGCTGTTACTAACACAGTTGGAAGCAGGCCTTCGCAGAGTGTTCACCATGGTGAACAGGTGTCCAGAGAGACTTCTGACAGCCGAGGTACGCATGCTCAGCCCTGGGGATGGCTGTCAGAAAATTGTTAGTAGGGTTTCTGTGTCTACGCGAGGCTTTGTTCTTTAAAAATAGACTTTTATTTTTAATATTTGTTTGTTCTTAGAATGATTTCTTTATAGCTAAGATTTTCTTTAGAAGGCTCGACTTTGGCACTTTGTATCATCCCTATTTTATAGGCTTTCTATACTTATTTGTGATTGCGCTTGGTCTGTAATTTTTCTTGCTCATTGGTTACACTAGTAATTCTTGCCATAAAATCACTTACTATCCTTGTTAGGCACAGATTTAACCAAGAAAGGTAATGCAGAGTCTTCACTTAAGATCCTAGGGCAAAATATTGCGACAGGCTGCATGCTTGCTGTGCGTGAGTGATGTGTGTCTCCTTTGTCACAGGGGAAGCGTGTCTGTCCTTCTGTCTCCTCTGTCACAGGTGCAGTGTGTCCGTCCCTCTCTCTCCTCTGTCACAGGGCAGCGTGACCATCCCTCTGTCACAGGGGCAGCATGTCTGTCCCTCTCTCTCCTCTGTCACGGGTGCAGTGTGTCCATCCCTCTCTCTCCTCTGTCACAGGGGCAGCGTGTCCGTCCCAGTGATGTTGTGAAGGCTGTTGTAAGAGTTAGAAGTCGCCCAGAGTGCCTGCTGTGCAGCAGTGCATGGAGGCCTTCACATGATCATCTTAGGCTCCTACGGTGTTGGGGTGCACGTGTCAGCTCCTGGTGGCAGAGTCTGACCCTCGACCTGTTTTTCTCTGTGCTGCTGTCTCAGACCCCCAGACTCCGCTTACCATCCCCTTTTATCAGTCCTCCGCCTTGGCTTCCGGCACCTCTCTCAGTTCCCTTTGACATGGCGTTGGAGGCTGTCAGCAGCCTTCTTCATAGACTGGAGATGGTCTGTGGTTAGAAGGGTTCACACATTTGACTGTGTGCTAGAATTGTTTTCGTTTTGAACAGTGTTGCTGCCTTCTTATTTTGCTATAATAATCTTAATCCTTTTCTGTCCTTTCTGAAGTCCACAGCTCTTTACACCACCTTGGATGAGGTAAGCAGCTTCTAAAACATAAAATAAAATACAAATTAAAGATCAACATACTTACATTAAAATGTTGATAGCAGTATAAAATAGAAGACACCATAGAGTTAAGATTCAGTACGATTTCTAAAGTTACAGAAGGTGCAAGTTGGGTGCTGAGACAGACCTGCTTAGCAGGTGGGCTGGAGTGAAGGCTGCATCTTGGGCTGTGGTCACCCCTCAGGTGTGGCAGATGAGGCGCACATTCCATACTCTGCCAGGATGCCAGGTGCCCACTGATCATGTTATCTGCAGTGGACAGTGGCATGGCCACCGCGGAGCTTTCTGGGAGGGGCCTGTCATCCCCGTGTATAGACAGGTCTTCACTGTGAGGTCGTGGGGAGTGTCCTTCCTCCTTCCAGCATGCTGCCACGTGGTCAGCCCAAGGAGCTGTGGCCCCCGTGCGGTGTGTCCCTGTCAGGCAGCCAACGTGCCCATGCGGTGAAGTGCGGGACAAGTTAGCGTGCCTGCTGGACGGCCAGGGGGCTGTTCGCCATGTTATCTGCCACACGCTTTCTGCTGTGAGGGTCTGATTACCAGAGCCAGTGTGGTCGTGTCTGTGAGGGGCTGCGGTGCTTAGACTAACCTAGTTAAGGTGGTCACATCTCAGTATGGTGGTTCAGGAGTTAAATTAACGTACTTGGTGTGGTCATGTCTAGTGGGCTAGGCCAGGGTTAGATTAATTTATTTAGTGTGGTCCCATCTGTGTGGGTTAGTTGGAAGTTAGATGAGTTAGTGAGGTGACTTTTGTGTGGGTTAGGTGAGGGTTAGATGAATTAGTGAGGTCACTTCTGTGTGGGTTTGGTGAGGGTTGGATGAGTTACGGTGATCACATCTGTGGGGGTTAGGTGGGGGTTAGATGAGTTAGTGAGGTCACATGCATGAGGTGAGCCCTCTGCGAGTGAAGTGACTCTGGTGTGGGCTCATGTCCATCTCTATGTTGTCCTTCACTGTTGAGTTGGAACAAACTCACAGCTGATCTTCTAGTAGGTTTTCAGAGGCAATAAATCACACTGCACATTGCCCATTTTTCACCCTCCTAGCAGTTAATGGATTTGAACCAAGTACCTTTGGAACATATTACACCAAAGGTACAGTATCTGAGTTGTATGAGTGCATGAGTGTGTGCATGTAGTTACTAATCCCCTGACTCATTGGTTCATGATATTGCAGATTTTGGCAAAAGACTTGAGAGATGGTGAAATGAACCAGCTTCCACTCTTCCTTGGGGAACCTGCCATGGTAAAGTAATCTGTCTCTCCAAGCCCAACTCTCATTCTGTAGATGCCATTACAATTTGTCATATACTTAGGATTTCCTTGAAATTTTACTTTTTCCCCTTATTATCTTCATTTATTTATTTGTTTGGCTTTTAGCAAATAGAAATACATTTTTTAAAATTTTATTTTCTTAATTTTAATGAACATTTACAGAGATTTGGGATTTTCATTCATTCATTGTTGTACCTTTTTTTTACCCCTCCTCCCCCCAGTTTGCTCTTCTCTTTGAAAAGCAAAAGATAAACTTCTTCGTTGGTATATTGTCCCCCCGCCCCAAATGCACTCCACTATGCAACCTTAATTTTGGATTCCTGTGATAATCATAATATGCTATCATATATCACTTTTAAACTGTTCTCTCCCTCATCTGTTTCAATTCAGTATACATAATCTATCCAGTTTTTCTCAGTCTCCTCCCAACGCCGAGGTCAGTCCTGCTTTACAACAGTGGCACCATGCAGTATTTGTCCTTTTGTGCCCGAGATACTTCACTCAGCATTATGTCCTCAGCATTATGTCCTCCAGGGTCACCCATTTTGAATACTATTACATGAGTTCCTTGTTTTTGAATGCAGCATAGTATTCCATTGTGTGAATATACCACAGTTTCCCTGTCCCTTCGTTTGTTGATGGACACTTAGGTTGTTTCCACCTCCTAGCTATTGTGAACAAAGCTGCAATGAACATAGGTGTGCATGTATCTGCTTGGATGGCATTCTTTCACACTATCAGAAGCTGGAGTCCAGGCTCAGGATGCCAGGTCCTGGGAAAGACTCTGCAGTCGTGACAACAGTTTTCTACTTAGTGCACTGCCAGTAGATCTGACCCTCCTGGGAGACATCTGTATATCTTAGCCTTCCCATGTCATTGCAGGGCCCTGGGCCCAGAGGACGACTCCCCGTCTAATAATTATTGTTTGGTGATACTGAGGCCTTTTCCTTCTTACTTTTAGGAGCCCGAGTTCTAATCTCTCCTCCATTAAGATTTATGGTCTTGGAAACCCCGAAGCCCATTGAGGATCACCACAAAGCAGAATTCACTTGATAGCAGTGGGTTGTCATTTCTAGGATATTATGTTGAATTTATATCTTCCTAGTGTCCAGGAGCGCTCAGTCCTTGGAGAAGGACATCATGTTCGGGAGGGTGGACAGACAGTGGAGGAGAGGAAGACTCCAGATGAGATAGATTGATAGAGTAACTGGGGTGATGGGGGTTGGTGTGTGGGAATCAGTGAGACCGGCTCAGGACAGGGAAGGATTCAGAGCTGCTGTACATAGAGTCACTATACATTGCAGGCGACTCAGTGGCACATAACAGCAGTAACATACTATGACAAGTTTGGAAGCAGGTGTGGCATCCACTTCCTAAATAACATATCTCTGGAAACTCTATGAACTTGGATAAATGTCAGTAGTTGTAGAGGGGCTTCAGGCCTTTTGTTCATAGGGTCGCTTTGAGTCATGCTCAGCTTGAAGACAAGCAACATCAAGTGTCCAATTTATATTTTCTTCATGCCCATACCTAGACTAAGAGGCTGCTGTGCAAACAGAACAAGAGAACATTACATGGTTTAAAATTAAGAGAGGACTATGTCAGGGTTACACTCTCTCTCAGTACCTATTCAGTCTGTATGCTGAGCAAGTTACTCAAGAAGCTGGACTCTATGCAGAAGTATGGCATCAAAATTGGAGGGAGATTCATCAATAACCTGTTAGGGTTAGGGTTCTGCAGATGACACACCATGCTTGCTGAAAGTAAGGAGGACTTGAAGCACCTGTTGTAGAAGATTGAAGAATAGAGCCTTCAATATGGATTGCATCTCAACATCAACAACGAAATTCTTAGCACTGGATTGATAGGTAACATTGTGATTGATGGAGAAAAGATGGAAGTTATCAACAGCTTCGTCTTACTTGGATCCACAATCAACAAACACTCTTGGTACCAGCAGTCAGGAAATCAGGAGACTTATTGTACTGGGAAGGTCTGCAGTCAGGGACATGTCCAAATTATTGAGGAACACTGATGTCAGTTTGAGGACTAAAGTGCCTCTGATTTAAGCCATGGTTTTCTGATTGCTTGCTGTCCATCTGAAAGCTGGACAGTGAATAAGGATGACAGAAGAAGAATTGATGCTTTTGAGCTGTGTTGTTGGAGAATAGTGCTGAGCATCCCATGAAATGCCAAAAAAAACCCCAGATATTTCTTGGACAGGGTGCAGCCAGAGTGCTCTTTGAAGTCAGAGGTTCACCTCATATCCTACGCGTGTGTTGCCATGAGGGGCTATTCCTTGGAGGAAGGACGTGATGCTTAGAAAGGCAGAGGGTCAGGAAAGGAGAGGAAGATGATCAGCCAGGTAGATTGACACGGTGACTGCTGCAGTGGGCTCCTGAGTGTCAGGAAGTGTGCTCAGGACAGAACAGGTCTTGTGTCAAGAAGTGCAAGGAACACACAGGATAGGACAGGCCGTGTGTCGGGAAGTGAGAAACACACAGAACAGGTCGTGTCAGGGTGTGAGGAACACACAGGACAGGTCGTGTCAGGGTGTGAGGAACGTGCAGGACAGGACAGGTTGTGTGCCAAGGTGTGAGCAGGACAGGACAGGTCATGTGTCAGGGTGTGAGGAACGTGCAGGACAGGACAGGTCGTGTCAGGGTGTGAGGAACGTGCAGGACGTAGGATAGGACAGGGGTTCAGATCTGTCCATGCTGTGGCTGTGGACCATAGTCGACTCAGTGGCTCCTAACAACATCAACAAGTGCCCATTTTGCAAATATTCAGAGCCTTAGGGAAAAGTTGTGCACTTACTGTTAGTGCCTACTCTCCCCTCGTCTGGTACCACAGTGTAGGTGGTGTCAGAGTTCGGGGCCACGTGGGCAGAGGCAGGCTGAGCAGGTCCTGGGAGGCAGGGGTGGCCTTAATACCTGATTCTGGCTCTCTGGGCATCGAGCCTTTTGTTCCTAAAAAAAAAGACACTCAAAGGGCTCGGTTCTTTTCCTTCTGGAAGTACGCCCCATCCCTTGGCCCTAGGTCTGACCTTGCTCCCTCTTGCCCTCGGGGAGTGTCCAAGCCCATGGCAGAGCTGCTGGCCTCAGAGGCTGCAGAAGGTGAAAGACAGAACAAAACCCCAAGTTCAAAGCAGGAATGAGGAAAGGAGTTTCGGGGGCCTTGCTGTTTTGAGTTAAGTGTGGTCTCTTGTTGCAGACCAAGGGTCCCAAAGAATGGAATAATTTTATAATTATTAGTAAAGAGACAAACAGCCAGGAATGAGATAGAGCAGAGAGCATAAAACAGGGGGCCAGCAGTTCTCGACTGAAGACCCCAAGCCAAGCTTCTCTGATCTTTATTGAAAATTATCAGGAAGTAAATCACAAAGATAATTCAATGCAAATGAAGCCAAGCTCTTTCTATTGAAAACCTTCTGCTTGGCTCAGGAAGGAGGGGTTCACAAATGTAAGAATTTGGTTTACCCTTAACTATTAACCTTGATGCCTCAGGGTGAACTCTAGCTCAGGAAGTAATACTCCCTCAGTAGGGGGCCCCTTGCTGTCTCCTGTCTTGCACGGAACAAACAGCTCACCTTCTAGGATCTGCCACAAGAGAAATCCTAACTTATAAATCTGTAATTCCATCAATTCCTGAACAAGGGTTTTCATATAATATTTGATATAAAGTTTGTCTCTGAAGAGTGAGTTGACATTTGGAGGAAGCCAAGACAGACCTCGTCCCACTTAACAGTCCTGACTTTAGCTGGTCCTCAGAGCACCGTCTGCCCAGCTGAGGGGCCACTTAATCGGCAGGAAGTCAGCTGCAGGCAGCTCTGACTGGCCTGTGTCCTCCAGGAGCAGCCTCTGCCACCTGCCCCTCATGTCTCAGTCCCTCTGTTCTGCTTGACCTGACAAGCCTCCCCCAGGGCCATGCTCTCCTTCCAGCCCTCCCCTGGTTCTGTCTGTGTTTTCACAGCCCTCCGCTTTGTGTCTGCTTGTCTGCACCCTCTGAAGAGCCCACTCTGGGAGGCAAGGCCCTGCTTTCTCCCCATCACTGCCTTGTGGTGTCCCTGGTTGTCCTATGTGCATTGCAAATACTTAGGCCGCATGAGAGTGGATGTGGATGTGGATGTAGTGTGGAGCCAGAACCAGAGACCACGATGAGACTAGTCTTACGGTGAATCCTGTGGCCCTGCTAACAGGACATGTCCTCTGTCTGTCTGAAGGAATTCCTCTGGGACTTCTTGAACCATCCGGAGGGCCCTCGACTGAGAGACCGCTTGAGCCACGGAGAGGTCAATGCAGATGAACTGCTGGGACAGGCAGCCCACCAGCTGCTTGCTTTTTCCATTGTGCTCTTACTCAAGTTCACAGAGGGAGAGGTCGCATCATCACTCAAGGTACAGGGTGAGGCCGGGCTAGCTGGATCCGCTTGCTGTGATTCCCCGTCAGATGTAACTTGGAGTCACTCTGGTGCCGGCGGTCAAGGTGAAGTGTGAGGCAGGGTTAGCAAGACCCAGCTGCAGCCGTGCATTTAAGATAGAATTCACTCTTCATCTTCTGCTGGGATTTGTCTAAGTCACAGCCTACCTCGAGTACTTCACTGAGAATAGACTACGTGTGTGCAGTCTACTCACAGACAGTGCCAAAGCAATACATAGTGCTTTATCCAGCCTAAAACTTTACCCCTTTTCTTAATAACACTACTGCCTTTGTTTTTAGCACAGCTAGGGTGTTGAGATCCAATAAGAAAATAAAACAGCGTTGGCAAGATGCATGGACATTCTTGCATCTCTTTTAAATTTTAAATTGGTGGTGTAGGATGTTTTACATCTGTGTGCTTTTAATTTTTCATTTTGGAAGAAATAATCTTTTTTTTTTTTAAGAAATAATCTTGATCAGGATTTTTGTTACCTATATTTCAGCTTTCTTCAGATTTATATATAACTAGTGCTGTGGAAATGGTTTGAAAGTTCACACAACAGAACAGTTAGTGAGAGAGGTCAGCATGGTGGAGGACACCTGTGGTCCATTGTTTGTCTTTTTAAGGCAGCACTGTTCAGAGTTGTGTTGCTGGTGTGGTGCACGGCCCTGCCAGAGCTCCCTCATGTCCGGTCTTCAGAACTGTTTGAAGGAATAGCATGGAAACCAGAGCCCTTGTCGGGCAGCAGGGAAACCTCACTGGAAGAAGTAACCAAACTCTTGTTTCTCTTTCCTTAACTAGGATAAGGCAGAAATAAAGGCTTTGATCGACATTGCAGAAGCCTATAGTTCTAGGTGCCATCCTGCTGCTCAGCTGAAGAAGCAGGTGACAGGTGTGGGCTGGGGAGGGTCTGAGGTTGTGGCAGGTGACAGGTGTGGGGCCTTGGGAGGGTCTGAGAGTGTAGTAGGTAACAGGTGTGTGGTAGGTAACAGGTGTGGGCTGGGGAGGGTCTGAGTGTGGCAGGTGACAGGTGTGGGCTGGGCAGGGGTCTGAGATGACGTTGAGCACTCAGGTGGCTGAGTGGCAGCAGGGGGCTGCATACAGGTCTTGGGCTGTGTGGGCCAGTATGTCTGCCTTACTGCTGGACATGGCCCTTGCTGTGGGACATGGGCCAGGGCTCAGCCTTCCGGGGTCTTGGAACACACCTTGAAGTGGCTTTGGCACTGATGTTTACTTCCTGGAGTGTTCCAGTATCTAATGGACGTAGAGTGGACCTCCTGACGTTGTTGCTGTTGTGCTGTTGAGTTGGAACCACCTCATAACTGATCCTCCAGCGGGTTTTCAGGGGCTGTAGATCGCACGGAGATAGATCGCATGGACACCGCCCATCTTCCTCTCAAGGAGCAGCTGGTGGCTTCCAGCCATTGAGTTGGCAGCGCCAAATGAATGTGCAATCAGCTGCAAGCCCTGGCTGTCCTCAGAGCAGAGCCAGGGCTTATATTGAAGACCAGGAGCAGGCCACAAGCTTAGCATTCCTGCTGGAGGCTCCAGGATTTGACTCCCTGAGGACCTTTCCTCTCTGTGGTTGTGAAGGGTGTCGCTCCCTGGAAATGGACGCACAAGGTTGTCCTCCAAAGGTGTGCATAATCATGGACTCTGGAGGGCTGCCCAGGAACCTGAGGGAAGCATGGCTTTGGAATGAGCAGGGCTCAGCTGACTCTTGGGAAGGTTGTGTCGCTGAGAGGCTGTCACATTGAGCAGTGCCCTAGCCGCCGGGCTTCATTAGCTTACAGCTTCTTCCTCATTTCAGTTGTTCTTTCATCTACTGGGCATGGGGTCTTGATCCTGTTCTCAAGGTCACTGTGTTCTAGTGTTTCTGATGCCTAAAAGGTGACCACCACCATTTTATTCTCACAATTTTGTGGATCAGAGGTTGAAGGTGGCTTGGTTAGGCCATCCCTGCCAGACCTCTCAGTGGCTCCATCAGAGCTCTGCTGGCTTGCTGACCAGTCCATTTCATGGTCAGAGGTAAGCGGACACCCAGGGAACACCTCCACACTAGGACTGGCAGTTGAAGCAGAGCAGATAACTGGGGGGGGGGCAACCATGCCGTCACCTCACTCGCCACAGATCATTCAGCCTCACTGTCCAGGGTCCTTCTGATAACAGGTCAGTCAAAAAGGAAAGTTTTCATTTAGAGGAAGAAGATGCCAGCCCACCTCTCTGGGGACTTAGTGGGAGTAGGAAGGGGTGCTGGCCTCAGAGGAGGACTTGAAGGAGGGCTGTTGGCCCCTAGGGGCTCAGGAGGGATACTTGTCTACTTGTGTAGGGAACCCCATACGGGTATGTCAGAGGAGTTTGTGGACATGTTTTAGAGCCACTGGATATAGTAACGACTTGGGAGTCCCAGCTGGTTTCCCAGGCCTTGTATAATATATTGAGTAACTGTTACCTACCTTTGCCGTAAGTAGAGCTCTAGTGGCCCAGTGGTAAGGAACTGCCCTCCCAACCTAAAGGCCCACTGCTTGAATCCATCAGCTCCTCTGTGGGAGGAAGATGGGCAGTCTCCTTCTGTTTGATTATCCTGAAAACCTGTTGGAGGGTCAGCTGTGAGTTGGTTCTGACTCAGTGGGACACAGCAACATAACAACAACCCTTACTTTAAAATACTGTAAGACCCATCCAGTGTGAAAACAATGTATACGAACTGGGTAAGAAAAACAGAATAAAAGAAAAATTTTATTTTAAATTAAAAAAAATACTGCAAGACCTGCAACGTTTTAAACATGTTTTCCCCGCTGAAGGCTGACTAGAATCATCTGTACTGTTTCTAAAAATGTACTGGTAAGTTTTAACCAATGCTGGGCTCTCTCTCAGGTGCTGCTCTGTGAGGAAAGCATCCGCACTTGGCCGGCTCTTCCTTTACATGAGGAGCTGCTTCCTGAAACAGCCAGGTACATCTCTGAGACTGGTGGTCAGTAACAGCAGTGCCAACAAAACTCCCCAGCCAGCTGGCCACAGCAGACCTGGAGGCGGCCTGCCTGGAGGCAGGGGCCAGTGCAGACGGGCTGTTCAGCTCCGACACAGGAGCACAGGAGGAGGCAGGCTGGTGGCCAAGATGGTGATGATGATGAAGGGAACAGTGGGGACGAGGTGGCCAGTGTGAATACAGGTGGCTCACGCGGCTTCTGCCCCGTCCTTTCCCAGCAGATCCCCTGGTCTCAGCACGTTGTGCCGTGCACTGTTACTGCTGCTGTAGTGGCTTCTCATTTATACCTGTGAACTGTGACGGTTGGCTGTGTGTGCCATTGAGTCAACCACAACTCAGTGAACCTGTGAACAGTAGATCAGACCTTACCCTGTCCTACTGCGTCCTCACCGTCTGTCACACACAAGTCCATTGTTACGGTCACTGTATCACTGCGTCTAGTTGAGGGTCTTCTTTGCTAACACTCTACCTTTCCCAGCACACTGCCTTTTTCTACGATGTCATGAAAGTGATACCACATTTTCAACCTGGGAGCTGTGGAGTTATCTCCCACTTTACACAGGGGTTCTGTGGTGATCTCTCATTTTCCGTTAGGTATTGTGTTGTTGCTTTTGTTGTGTGCCATCAAGTAGGAACCAACTCATAGCGGACCCTCTAATGGGTATTTGAAGGCATTAGATTGCGTGAGAGGGGATTTGGCAGAGCACTGAGTGGGTTTGAACTGCATGCCTTTGGGATTGCAGTACAGATGTCTTAATTCTACCTTTGGGAAAACTGAGTGGCAGATTCAGTGCTTTGCTTTCTGAAGCATTAGCAGTAAACACTTTCTCTGAGCCCTACGATGGATATTTTGCACCTGCATATTGCTGATTACTTTAAAGCTTAAGTTTCTGTATTTTTGCTTGTTTATCATTGTTCTAATCAGTACAGCATTTACATATCACTTTGCTTTACTGAGGTAACTTGTGTTTGCTGTGCTGCTGAAAGCTGTGCCACAGATATGTCACGTGAGGGAGGGATCATCCAGAGAGAACAGGCTTTAATAGAGATCCCGGATTAAGACAGATGTGGAAGCAGGATTGACCATCTACTTCTTACATAACAGGTCTTTGAAAATTGTATGAACAGTAGAGGAACATGGATAGTTACAGTATTAGAGGTAGAGACCAGTTTGGAAGTCAATCAAAATGAACAGAAGCAGCTACAAACGTCCTTGGATAGTTGGAATATGGCACGTAAGAAGTATGAGTGCTGGAAAACAAGAAGTTGTGGAAAATGAAATGGATTGCATGAATATCAACATTTGAGCATTAGTGAGATGACCACTTTGAATCAGGCATATGGTATATATTATGCCAAGAATGAAAACCAGAGGAAGAATGGTGATGCATTCATTGTTAAAAAGACACTTTCAAGTTCTATCCTGAAGTGCAGTGTTGTGAGTGAAAGGATATTATCATATGTATACAAGGAAGACCTGTTAAAGGGCTGTTACCTATTATTCAAATATGTGGTTTAATAGCTAAAGCCAAGGCTGAGGAGATTGAAGATTTTTTACCAAATTTGCAGCCAAGACTGACCAAACATACAATCAAGATGCATTAATAGTAACAGGAGATTGGAATCAGAAGTTGGGAAAAATGAGAAATGGTAGTTGGAAAGCACAGATTTTGTGACAGAAATGAGGCCAGAAAGAGAATGATTGAATTTTGTATGTTCATGATATGTTCACCACAAATATCTTTTAAAAAAACCCACAAATGTCAACTTTACATATGGACCTCCCCAGATGGACTGCATAAGAATCAAAGTGACTACATCTGCGGAAAAAATTCATTGGAGAAGATCAGTATCAGCAGTCACAACCAGTTCAGATGCTCACATAGAACAGACTATCAGTTACGCATTTGCAAGTTCAAATTGAGGCTGAAGAAAACGAAAATAAATTTACAAGAATCAAAATATGACCTTAAGTCTATTTAAAAATCATCTTAATAATAGGTTTGATGCATTGAACATTAGTGATAAAAGACCAGGTGAGTTGTGGGATGAAATCAAGGATCTCATTCATGAAAAGTGCAAAAGATTACTACACAGACAGAGGAGAAAGAAAAACCCAGAATGGATCTTAGAAGAGACTATGAAAATTGCACTAAAAGTTCGAGACGCTAAAACAGAGGTTGACGTGAAAGAGCTGAACAGAAGATTTCAAAGGGCAACTCAAGAAGACAAACCCAAGTATTACAATGGAATGTGCAGAGAGTTGGGATTTGGAAGTAAAAAAGAAAGAACATACTTGGCATTTGAAAAAATACTGAAAACCAGATTCAAGCCTTAGGTTACAATGCTTAGAGATTTTTTTTTTAAGAGGTGTTTTTTGTTGTTACATGCTGTCAGGTTGCCTGTGACTCATAATGACCGTATGTGCAATAGCCCTAAACCATGCTTTGTCCTATGCTAATCTTATTGTCTCTGGCAGACCGATCCCTATTACCCTAGTCACTGAATCAATCCATCTCATCGAAGGTCTTCCTCTCTTTCACTGTCCCTCCACCCTCTCAAGTGTGACATCCCTCTCCAAGGACTGGTCCTGCCTTGCAACATGTCCCAAGTATGTCAGATGAAGCTTCAGAATCCTTGCCTCCAAGGAGCAGCCTGGTCTTACCCTTTCTAGGACAAACTTGTTTGTTTCCTTAGCAGTCCATTATATATTCAGTACTCTTTTCCAGCACCACAGCTCAAAGGCATGGATTCTCTTTTCTATTATCCCTAGTCATTGTCCAGCTTTCTGATGCATGGCAAGTAATTGCAAAGACCATGGCCTGGATTAGGTGCACCTGTCTCTAGACTGACATCATTGCTCTTCAGTACTTTGGAGAGGTCTCTGACAGCAGACTTTCCCGGTACAATTTGTCTTTTTATTTCCTGAGTGCTGTTTCCAAAAGTCTTGAATGATCTAAGAAGCATATAAAGAAGATGGAGGGAAGATGCACAATTACTGTACCAGGAAGAAGAACTGGGCAACACTGATATACAGAATCACTGTACCAGGAAGAACAGACCAGCACTAAGACACAGAATCACTGTACCAGGTAGAACTGGACAACAGTGAAATATTTCTAGAATTACCATATGATCAACAGCCAGTGATAATGATGGAAGAAGTTCAGATTGAAGGAGTTGATGGAACACAAATTGACATGTTTCAGCTAGCAGATACAGCCCTGGATTCTCTTACCAGGCTGTGAAAAGAAATTTGGAAGATAGCTGCTAGGCCTGCTGACTGGAAGAAATCCTATTCTCTTTCCCCCCAAAAAGGTGACTCAACAGAATGTAGAAGTTATTGGTCAATGTCATTATTATCACATACAAGTAAAATACAGCAGAAGATCATTCAAAAATGGCTATAACAGTACATAGAGAACTGTCAGAAGTTCAGTCAGGATTTAGAAGAGACTGTGGCACCAGGGATGTAATTTCTGATGCTGGATGGATCCTGGCTGAAATGATATCTGTTTGTGCTTTGTTGACTATGAAAAGGCATTTGGCTGTGTGGATCCTAACAAATTATGGCTAACATTGAGAAGAATGGGAAGTCCAGAACACTTAATTGTGCTCCTGCAAAGTGATACCTTAGACCGAGAGGCTGTTGTGCAAACCGAAAAAGGGAACACTATTGTTGTTTTTATGTTCTGTTGAATACAACTCATAGTGGCCCTGTGGACAGCAGATCTGAGCCCCATCCTATCCTGTGTCATCTTCACACTTCCTGACACCTTAGAGGCCATTGCTGCAGCCACCATGTCAGTCCACCTAGTTGAAGATCTTCCTCTCCATTGCCAAACCTCCAACCTTCCAAGCATCGTCCCTGAAGTATGTGAGGCGAAGCCACATCCTTGTCTCCAAAGAGCACTCTGGCTGCACCCTCTCCAAGACATACGTATTTATTTATTCTTTTGGTGGTCCATGAGTTGTTCATTATTCTCTAAACCACAACTCAGAAGGCATCAGGTCTTCTTTTGTCATTTCTGTTCATCGTGCAGCTCTCAAATGCATAGCAAGTGATCATAAAGACCATGGCATGAATCAGACGTACCTTAGTCCTCAAATTGACATCATTACTCCTCATTAATTTGAAGATGTCTGTAACTGCAGACTTTCCCAATGCAATATGTCTCCTGATTTCCTGACTGCTGGTACCAAAGGTGTTAACTGTAGATCCAAGTAAGATGAAGTTGTTGACAGTTTCAATCTCTTCTCCATCCACCATAATGTTGCCTATTGGCCCAGTGGTAAGAATCTTTGTTTTTTTGACATTGAGATGCAATCCAAATTGAAGGCTGCATGCCTCGATCCTCTGCAACAAGTGCCTCAAGTCTTCTTGTTCCCATTCCCAAGAAAGGTGAACCAACTGAACATGGAAACTATCTAGCAATATCATTATTATCACATGCAAGCACATTACTGCTGAAGGTCATTAAAAATGGCTAAAATAGTACAAAGATAGGAGACTGCTAGAAGTTGATTTAGAAGAGGCCATGGACTTTCGGCTTGGAGGAGGCCTTGGTGCAGCTTTCTTCGGTCGTCCCGCATCTGGGTTCATCCGACACCAGCCGCCTCTGCCATGGCGCCCAAGTTCGACCCCAACAAGATTAAAGTCATGTACCTGAGGTGTACTGCTGGGGAAGTCGGTGCCACTTCTGCTCTGGCCCCCAAGATCGGCCCCCTGGGTCTGTCTCCAAAAAAGGTTGGTGATGACATTGCCAAGGCCACCGGTGACTGGAAGGGACTAAGGATTACAGTGAAACTGACCATTCAGAACAGACAGGCCCAGATTGAAGTGGTGCCTTCTGCCTCTGCCCTGATCATCAAAGCCCTAAAGGAACGACCCAGAGACAGAAAGAAGCAGACAAATATTAAGCACAGTGGAAATATCACTTTTGATGAGATTGTTGGCATTGCCCGGCAGATACGACACTGGTCTTTAGCCAGAGAACTCTCTGGAACTATTAAAGAGATCTGGGAACTGCCCAGTCTGTGGGCTGCAATGTTGATGGCCGTCACCCTCATGACATCATAGAAGACATCAGCAGTGGTGCTGTGGAATGCCCAGCTAGCTAAGGAACTGCAGATGAAAATATTTCAATAAAGGATCATTTGTTAACAAAAAAAAAAAGAAGAGGCCATGACACCAGGGACATCTTTGCTAATGTCAGCGTGTCTGTCTGTGCTTTATTGACTGTCTGAAGGCATTTGTCTGTGTGGATCATAACAAGCTGTGGCTGTCTTTGAAAAGAATGAGAGCCCCAGAACACCTAACGGTGCTCATGCAAAATCTATACCTGGACCAGAGGCTGTTGTGCAAACACATCAGGGGAACACTGCATGGTTTAAAATTAAGGGAATGGTCTCAGAGTTATATTCTCTGAAGAGGAGAATGGCATCAGAATTGGAGGGAGACCCATCAACAACCTGCATTATGCAGATGACACAACATTGCTAGCTGAAAGTGAGGAAAAGGAAACACTACATGGTTTCAAATGAAAAAAATTAGAATTATATCCTCTTTCCATACCTGTTTGATCTTTGTGCTGCTTAGATTATTTGAGAAGATGGACCGTGAAGAGAGAGGAATGTGGCATCAAGATAGAAGAAAGATTTATACATAACCTGTATTATGCAGATGGCACCACCTTGCTGAAAGTGAGGAGGACTTGAAGCACTTGCTGCAGAAGTTCAAAGAATACAGCCTTC